ATAACAATAGTGGAATATGCATGATTTAATTTAATTAATTATATAACACTAAATTCTGATATATTTATTGATCTCTTAATTTTTGTATTCAATTTAATTCACTGCATATGTTTTACTTGTGTCTATTTTTTTGTAATGAAATGTGTGTAACTCCTATAATTAAGTCTACGCTTAGTTTTTATGATTTTTTGCAAAAATATTATGCTTTTGTTAGCGTATGTCTTGTTGGTGTTAAATAAATAAATAAATAAATAAATAAAATACAGAGGGACGGCGGTTCTTGTGAGGAGGGACATCGTCCACCAAGAGCTGGAACTACCACCTTACCAGACTATGCGTTCTATCGGCATAAGAATGGAGGCGGCGGGCGAGGAACTTAGGATCTACGCAGCATACCGCCCGCCAGGGACTCCATTCTGCTCCTCAGACATCCGGACGGTGATGGAAGGCGACACACCCACTATAATCGCCGGGGACCTAAACGCCAAACACCCGGCGTGGGGGTCCAGAGTGATCACCCCGCCGGGTCATGCACTATATGAAGACGCTGAGAGAAACAGCTATGACGTTTGAGGTCCCGAAGAGCAAACCAACGTTCCGACAGACCCGAGGCAACATCCGGATGTATTAGACATCGTGCTCTCTAGGAACGTCAACTACCCAGTAGTGATAGAGGTGCTATACGACCTGAGTTCACAGCACCTCCCGATTCTGATAACCCTTGGCACTAAGGCGGTGACTACGCCGACCAGAGCATTCAAGACACGCATCGACTGGAGGCGCTATGCACAACACCTGAGGTGAGACCTCCAGCCCACCAACCCATAAGTACAGCGGACGACGTAGAGGCCGCTGCAACTAGAATTACCAAAAACATCCAGGAGGCCCTCCACGCGGCCTCTACGATCGTCCCGATCACAGAAAGGCGTGACGATCTGCCGCGGAAGGCGCGGAAGGGCCGGAAGCTCTGGGCGCGTACTCGCTGCCCAAGACTAAAATCACAGCTTAACATCTTATCGGAGGAACTGTCGGTTGCAGTCCGGGCCTACAGAGGAGAGGTCTGGGAGCGGCGCATATGGAAGGCGGATGAGCAAAATGCGTCGCTCTATAAACTGAACCGACAGTTAACCAAAACCAGACCTCCCGTTTGCCCGCTGACCAACAGTGCGGGCGAACGCTGCTACGATGCCAAGGGCAGAGCGGATATCCTAGGAGAGCACTTCGAGGAGCAATTTATGCCGATTCCTGCAAGTGCGGAGTACATGGAGCTTCATGCCATAAAGGAGAGTCGCGTACAGGAGTTCCTGTCGTCACCTGTGCCGCCTCTTGCAGGAGAGTGGTTCATTTCCCCCGCCGAACTGCGGAGGACAGTAACCTGCCTGCAACCGAGGAAGGCGCCCGAACACGACGGGATTACCAACGCTGCACTCCGACAACTGCCCTATAAAGTCCTAGTAGAGATTGGTCGACTCTACAATGGGATACTGCGGACATCCCACTTCCCGGAGGAATGGAAAAAAGGCAAAATTATCGTCTTGCCGAAACCCGGGAAGGACAGGCGTAGAGCTGCCAGCTACAGGCCGATTACGCTATTACCGCACATAGCTAAACTGTTTGAAAGATTGCTGCTGAGACGTCTCCGTCCGTGCATCCAACTTCGGGCGGAGCAGCACGGATTCAGGAGGGGTCACTCTACAGTCACACAGCTGACTAGAGTGCTGCACCTGCTTGCGGCAGAGTACAATCGTGGCCGCATATCGTTGGGCGTCTTTCTCGATATCGAGACGGCGTTCGACCGGGTGTGGCACTCAGGATTACTATACAAATTACACGAGCAGACCAGTGTCCCCCCCTGCTATGTTGCGGTTAATGGCGTCTTTCCTGGAAGACAAGAAGTTCTACGTCTGCGTAGAGGACGCCGAGTCCGCAACAAGAACCATCAGTGCCGGCGTCCCACAGGGCAGTTGTCTGTCTCCAGTCCTGTACGCGGCATATACGAATGACATCCCAACATTGGCAGGCAGGCTGCAAGAATGGGAGGACGACGTGGAGCTACGACTATACGCGGACGATAGCGCCTATTTCACCTCGTCCAGAAGAGCCCATATAGCCACTGCCAAAATGCAGCGTCTGCTGGACCTGTTGCCACCATGGCTGAACGAGTGGAGGATGGTCGTCAACGTTAGTAAGACGACCGCTCTGCTCACTCGTCGCCTTAGAAATTTACCACCACCACTAACTCTCGACGGCCAGAAGATCGCGTACGAGAAGGCCGTGACATACCTCGGGTGCCGGATCGACCGGGCGCTGCGCATGACTGCGCACGTCGACTTCGTCGTCCGCAAAGCCAGATTTGCGCGGGCGATGCTTCGTCCGGTCCTGGCATCCAAGCTGCCAATAAAAACCAAGCTCCGGATATACAAGATGTATATCCGCACTATTACCACCTACGCTGCTCCGGCCTGGTACGCGATTCTGAGCGACCCTCTGAGGCGGCGACTATAGGCTCAGCAGAACCTGTCATTAAGGACGATTGTCGGAGCAGGTCGTTACGTCCGGAATGACGTCATAGCGGCCGATCTGAAAGTCGAGACCATCACCGACTTCGTGGCCCGGTTAGCGCGCGGCATGTGCCGTGACCGTGACCGTGCCGATAACGGGCCACATGAACACCTCAACGGCTTTGCGCCGTGGCACACCCGGCCACCGGACGGGCGACCTCTTCCAAGAGAACTCCTCTCTATATGTGATTAGAGAGTCGAGTAACAACCCACAATGCCGCAGAAAGGCCAACTTAGACTCATAGATTACCTCCATAGATAACCTCCCTTTCCCGTAGTTGGTGAACTACGGGAAAATATTCTTATCCGGCTACATTACAAATGTAGCAACAGCACGCCAAGATAGGCTAAAATTGACTGCCCCATAGTTATGGGGTATGAGGATATCCGGGTAATGGGGTATACCCCGAGGCCCGATACCTCCATGTACCATGGTACATGAAGACGACATCAACGACCAACCTGACTGGACCGGACGGGTGCGTAAGTTCGACCACGCATGGACCGGACAGCACTGTCCCTTAGATCAGTTTAACTTGTGACCGGACGAATGTGTCCCTTCAATCTGCCGCGCGGCATGGCCCGGTACAACATTGTCCCGTCGACCAGCTTCACATAAATATTTTTTCTCTCACATTAATTCAATTCAAACAAGCAATTTTGTCGACCACATAACACTCAAAGCAAACTTTTAGGTACACTCATCAACTTATTAGAACAAAAAAAGGCCACTCATTTTTTTTAATTCATACCTAACTATACACATAATATACACTATACGAGACATACACCAAGCGATTGTTAGTTACTTTACGACGGCGCCGTCCCCCGCAACTCCATATTGAACGCAACTCCATGTTGAAAAAACTTGACAGGTGATAGTTATTCAGCTGTAGTGCATTACCTAGAAGTTTTATATTTCATGCGCGAGTCCCGTGTGACTGCTGCGCAAGCGCGTTTAGCATAAGTTAGATTTTATAAGAAATGATTGTATTTGGGACTCAATAAACGACGACTTTCTTTTCCCCACGCGTACCATGCCTCATGGCGACCATGCCAGGATGCTAACAAAGAAATTACCCACTAAGTGAAAAACCAGTGCAAAAAAAAAAACAAATTCGGAAGAAAGAAGAAAACCTTATAGAAGAAAGAAGAAAACCTTACAGAAGAATGAAGAAAACCACATAGAAGAAAGAAGCACAAATTCTGAAGAAAGAAAAAAGAAGCGCCCTATTTTGAAGAAAACAAAAAAAAACAAGAAGAAACGCCAGAAATCCAAAGAGAAATAAAGGTACGAAATGGGAAAATCGCAGTCGAAAAGAAGTAGTCATAGCACAAAACGCAAATGGTGCAGCATCCGCAAATACAAGCCTAGAAGACGCTCACACAAACCACATCATACAAACCCTCATGATTTTATCCGTGGTTATACTGGCTGCAGCAGTTATCTATTACCTGATGAAAAAATGCAGGAAGAGTGCCGTGAAAACTCTGAAGCGAGAACTCAACGCAATCTCGCTTGAAAACATCGCCCGCCCTACAACTAACTAGAAGATCTCAAGAGGTGTCCAGGGTAATACCCGGCCCGCTTCAAGAAGATGACCTCATGCAGCCACACATCCTGTTTGCAGTGCTGTTCCCGCTTGCTCGCGCCGCCCTAAAAATGGTTACATCCACAAACACCATCGCCCCGCCCTTGTACTTACCTTGTACGGTGAAAAAAAAAAGATGATTAGTGTACATATAACTTAGGGTAAGGTTGCGATCATTGGACCGGCACTTTCATTGGACCGCTTCGATATTTTCGAAACGGTTCGATTTTAAAACTGTTGCTAGGCGTCGGACGCTTGGTATACGTCCCCCCGCCACACCCCCGTAGTCTCAGTTCTGCCGCAGGCTCCGTCGCGGACGCAGGTCTGTCGTTGCGTTTAGCGCGCTCAAAAAATTTTTTTCGCCTGCTAAACCAAACCATGTAAGTAGATATTCCTTAAGGATATTCATGCGTGTTGTTTAATGTTCTGTTCTTTGTTTATCAACGTTATTGATTCTTATAGAAAGGAATGTCCAAAAGTTATAGTTTAGTGGTAATATTTGACCTTGTAAAACCATACGTAGTTGCCATCATTGAACCACTTCGAAGCTCCTCGATTGGACCGGTCCAATCATGGCAACTAATATAAAACCTGGATTTTAAAATATCATTCGGAGAGATCTACCTATTTTTTTAAATGTGAAATGAAATAATGATAAATATTTTAAATAAATTGATTTAATTTTTAATGGCAGCGTGTGTTTAAAATATCATTGGAATACCTATGTCAATTTACTTTTTTAACTGTGAAATAATGAATTTTTATAAAAATAATTAATTTAATTTCGATTGCCATGTTTGTGTGCTGATATTATTGTATTGGTAATAGAAAATATTTTTATTGCAGCATGTCTAAAAGAGGGCAATATTACACGTGGAGTGAAACAAGCATGAAACTAGCATTACAGGCATTACGTAATAGGGAAGTTGGCTTAAATGAAGCAAGCACAATTTACGGTGTACCAAAAGCTACATTAAAGAGACGACTTGATGGCTCAAATCAAACAGCCAAAGAAGAAAAACAAACGCCAGGTTCTGCAGGTGATCTCACACCTGAATTGGAAGAAAAGTTGTACCAACATATTCTAGAAATGGAAGCCTGTTTGTACGGTCTAACACCAAAAGATGTGAGATCACTTGCTTTTAAAATAGCTGAGAAAAACAATATTAAACACAGATTTAATAAAACAAAAAAAATGGCCGGGAAGAAGTGGTACTATGCATTTTTAAAGCGTCATCCCAGTCTAAGTTTAAGACAACCCAGAGCTACATCTTTAAATAGAGCTACAGCATTTAACAAACACACTGTCAAAGACTTTTTTGAAAAATTAGAAAAAGTGATGGATGAGCACGGTATACATGACCCACGATACATTTATAATGTAGATGAGACAGGCCTCTCAACAGTGCAACGAAAACCAAGAAAGATATTGGCCAAAAAAGGAAAGCATCAAGTTGGTGCTATTACAAGTGGTGAGCGTGGATTCACTACTACTGCTGTGTGTTGTGCAAGTGCAGCTGGCCATTTTGTACCACCTCTTGTAATTTTTAAACGAAAAAACGCTAAAGACGAACTTCGCGACGGTGCTCCACCTGGTTCAATCTTTGCTTTTAACCCCGACAGTGGCTACATTAATAGTGAAATATTTTTTGTTTGGTTGCAACACTTTGTAGAATGTGTAAAGCCGACCACGAAGCAGAAAGTTTTGCTGTTACTTGATGGACACACTAGTCACACAAAAAATTTGGATGCTATTAAATATGCCAAGGAAAACAATGTTGTGTTACTGTCACTTCCTGCTCATACTTCCAATAAACTGCAGCCCCTAGATACTTCGTTTTTTAGACCGTTGAGTTGCTATTATATAGATGAAACAGAGAAGTGGCTGCGTACAAATCCAGGAAGACGTGTTACAGTATTTCAAATTTCAATGCTTTTCGGTAAAGCCTACGCCCGTGCTGCATCTATTGCAACCGCTGAAAGTGGATTTCGAAGTACGGGCATATATCCTTTTAATAAGGATATTTTCCAGGATTATGAGTTCGTTACTTTACCTGAAGATAACGACAACTTACCGGCTATTGAGAATGAGAACATGATTGTAGATCCTTTGTTTTCAGAGCTTAATGATGTAGATGACAATGGAATACCAAAAGATGTTACCTCGGATGATCCACCATTTTCGTGCACCAGTGTTGAATCTACTGATGTAAATACGATGCAAACAATACCGTCTGCTTCCAAAACACCTGTTATACCAAGCCATGATTTATCGGATAATTGCAACAATATAAATATTCAACCTGAAACACCAATCATAGCAACAAAAGAAGTAAAACAATGGCAGCCACTTCCAAGCACTAGCTCAGAATTTCAAATTTGTAGTGTAAGTCCGACTGCAAAGAAAGTCATGCAAGAATTGAGAAAAGGAAGTCGTAAACCACAATCGGCAATAGAGTTAACTGCTTCCCCATATAAAAGACAATTGGAAGAGTCAAAAGCTAAAGCATCCAAAACAAAATCTGATGCTGAAAAGAGAAAGAAAGTTGCTGCATTAAACTTGGAGAAAACAGTAAAATCTAATAGAGGTCCAGAAAAACAGATAAAGAAAGACGTGAAGAGAAAGAAAGTGCCAGCTGGGGAGTTAGAAAAATGGTTCTGCAAAATTTGTCTCCATTGTGCTATTGAAGACATGATACAATGTTTGTCATGTAAATGTTGGGTCCACGAGGAGTGTGCTTGCGTTAAAAAAGGGATCAAAAAATATATTTGTCCATCATGTACTGAATAATGGATTTCAAATGTCTGAAATTATTGAATATTAATTTAAGTTTGAATGTTGATTTCTTTTAGATATTGAAAATTTTTAATTAATGTTCGGAGAATTTTTTATATATCTGAAGATGGGTTTAAGTTTTATGTTATTGATATTAGTACAGAAAAAGTTAAACAAAGTTTTTTTAACAATACTCAAAAATTATTAGGTTTATTTTTGAGTATTGTTAAAAAAAACTTTGTTTAAGTTTATTGTTGTTCAGATTAGTATTTTTAGTTTTTAAGAATTTAACACTAAGTACTCTGCTATTCCTATATTTTTTCTATGAAGATTTTAGTATGTAGCATTTTAAAAAAAGTGATTACATGGTATTAAATATAAGAACCAAGAAGACTGTATTGTGAGCCAATGTTAAAATAATTAATATTAAAATAGTGGTTAAAAACTTAAGTACCTCAAGTTGTTGTTTTATAATTTTTATATTTTTTTTTGGGAAACATTTAAAAAAATGTTACATACATTCACGGTATTAAAACCAAGAAGACTGTTTCATATGCCTATATTGAAAAATGACTTAATTAGGAACATAAATGTTAAAATAATGATTAAAATGTTCATTTCATTAAATTGTAGTATTATTATTTTGTCACCTTAAACCATGAAATTTCCGAGTTGCCATCAATGGACCGGTCGACTCATTTTCCTAAGTCCAATGATGGCAACAAAGTGGTCTAATGAACGTTCCAGTGGTCCAATCAAAGAAACCTTAACAAAAACCATTTTACCCATTTATTGACTCTATTTACTATTTTAGAATTCTGAAACTTTAGGTATTTACACAGGAATACAAGAGCACTTCAGTAACTAAATCACTTTTATTCCACATTGCATACATTCGTTTTTTAAGCATTTTAACAAAAGTGGTCCAATCATCGCAACCTTACCCTAAGACTAATAACATAATGAATGTATAGGTACTTATCTGAAAAGCAATCATCTTTTTTTTCCTAAAGAGGGTAGTGAGGTACCCCTTACTTTTCGGAGGAGATGTAGTGCATTATCTAGAAGTTTTATATTTCATGCGCGAGTCCCGTGTGACTCTGCTGCGCAAGCGCGTTTAGCATAAGTTAGATTTTATAAGAAATGATTGTATTTGTCTCTCAATAAACGATAGACATACGGTGAAGACGTATCCTTTCTTTTCCCCACGCGTACCATGCCTCACAGCATTCGTTTTTGTTTGAACATTACTAGAACGTTTTATTTGGGTTAACGGTTAAATCGTATTCCTTGCACCAATCTCCTCTATACTTGCTGTTTTTCCCGAGACAAGTATTGCCAGCTCATATCCATAACCAATTGTATGGAAGTGCAATTGTGTAGAAAACATTTAATTTGCTGATTAGTTTATTTATATATATACCCATATTCCACAGGAGAGGTGAAAGAACCCCACTTTGCGGGCAACCTTTCCTTATTTGGACTGCTTGAGATTCGCCAGCAAGAACTGAGCATGTTTACTATCAAGTCAATCAGTGCCAGTTCAACTCTATGTCTACTCAATGCAACTTTAATTCTGGCGATTGATTGTTATTTTAAGCGATTGTTAACGCCATTAACAAATCAAATCATTTTCTATCTAAACGTTTATTTTGTGCAATAATTTTTATTACATTACACAATCCCTTTTAATCCATGTTTGTATCGTGCAATATGCTCGTCAGTTAAGGGTACTTTACAAAATATTATTTTTATAGAATAAGGGTGACAAAAAGCACACAGTCTACCTGATGGTAAGTGGATGCTGTGGCCCATAGACATCTACATTTATCCTCTATTAAGAATCGAAACGCAGATGCGTTGTCACCCTTGAGGACATAGATGGAATGCCTCATTTCCATAAAAAAAAGGGTTTCCGAATCTCTACACTCACCATACGAGACACAGCAGTATTAGGCTGCTATTTTACGCTGGTATTCTGTGAGAACGTGTTCCTTCCCCCAGCGTGGCTCTACTACGTACTACATACTTTGTATAACAATAAATACGGAGTAATAACTCTTTTGATCACTCTTTCCGACAAGTTTTCCAGAAAAAATCATAATGTATAGTGTGTCAAGACACAGAAATTACTTAAGTTGTCAATTTGATTACATACAGTGATTACAATGCCGCATTGACCAGCAACAAACTGTTACCCATATCTTCGGCGGCGGCTATCTTCTAGCAGCAACGACTATCAGATCGTTCCAAGTCGACCAACATTAGTCTCTACGAGGCAAAGGCCTTTCACCGTCAGATGTTCATCGCTCCTGAATGACGCCAGTAAATGACAGTTACAATTACGCACCAATGCGTTCAATGCGACCAAATAGTAATAACAAGTGACTAAGAGTATGAACGCTTGGAAATACTTCCGGAAAACTTCAATGCTTAATTTTACTTCAACTAGATCAATTCAAGGAAAACTTTACTTATTATCACAAAATAAAATGTACAAGAGCCATAACCCTTTTTAAATGTTCGTTACGCAACAAATGTATACCACACTTCATTTTATTTTCTCAATGTTCAGTCATCCCCGTCCCATCTCAACGGCGACTAAACTAGACCTTTATCAACACCACACGCGTACCGACCCACTCTTTGAGCTACGGCTACGGTATGGCTGGCGACATAGTCAAAAAACCAAAATAAAAGTAAGCGACCTATAATTTAACAGGCTCATTAATCACCCACATAGACTCAAGCTAGTCAATTGAAATAAGCTTGGCTTTCAGGCATTTCTCTCAACCAATTAAAAAGTCAACCACTTGTTAGCTTGTTACTGCAAAATATATTTTCAAAGCTTTTCTTTTTTACCCTATTGAGTAGACTAAGAAACGTCACAACGTCAAGGTAAAGACTAGAAATGGGTAAGTAATATAATATGTTCGAATTGAAAAATATGTATTATATAAAATAGATACTTTGGCTAAAATATGCGTGCGTTACGACATAAAATACAAGAAAGTACAGTAAGCAAACCGTTAGCAATTCGTCGCAAATATAAGGTACGCTTGACGATGATGTTTAATATTCGCAAATGGCGAATAAAAATTAATTTACAAAAATTTCAAACATTCTGTCCTTCTTATATCTTAAATTCAAAATGCGTGATATTCATTAAGCTATTATGTACTATGTACTAGAGGCGACATTGCGTTCAGCTACTATGTTCCATTCAACTGCGGTGCGTACACCGCACTTTAATCAGTCACTCGCTAGGTGCTTGTAGAGTTGTCACGTGTTGTGTTGATTTAAAAAAAACAACCGTGCGAACACAGAGTAGCGCACATTTTTGTTTGAAATAGCTGTTCTAGTACGTAAGTACTAGAACAGCAGTACTTCAATGGTGAGAATGCATTATTTTAACTGATTATACTGTCCAAGCACACATTTGTAAGGGTCGATTGGTAGGCAAAAACGTTGTTGCCCATAAATCACATTCAATTTGGGATGATTTCAAATAAAATAAAAAAGTTTAAATGTGTTATCAACGAAAAATTGTACAAAAAGGGTTATTATAATATCAAAAAAATACATAAATGAAATTAATCCCTGGGAGTGAGGTGATCGCCAATCCAGCATATTACTATAAAAATTCATTTGAAAAATGTACAAAATAAATTATTGTAAAGTGAAATATGTTTAAAAAAAATTCCGCTGGGTTTCTTCCTGGTTCTTCCCAGGACAGAAGTTTATTTCCGAACCAGTGGTAAACAAAAATTACTTTCAAAAAGTATTATGCAATAATCTATATTGAATTAAAATCATTTATTTCATTTCATTGATGTTGAAGCACACACGGGTACAGAGAATATTGATTCTGAAGCAGATACGAATATGGCGGGTAAAGTACTGTTACTCAAGTACGAGTACATACAGATATGGGAATATTGATGCTGAAACACATACAAATACAGTGTATACTGATGTTGAATCAGCTATAAACTCCACGATGTCTGAATCCTCCATATGTTTGCTACTTACCCGTAAACGTTACTCTGGTATTGCAGTTATTCATGGGCGGCTGTAGACACTTCCAATCAACTTCCATCAGGTGAGCCGCATGCTCGATTACCACTTCCATAAAATTGATAAGTATGTAGTAAATTATAAAACTACCAATATTAAAAAAAAACATTTATTTCAATATCTTTTTCTTTTTGGTACGTTATTATAAAACTTAAATTACTTAAGTGTATACAGTTTAAACCAAAAAATTATGATGTGCATCCTACTGCCAGTCTTATACAATAAGAGATTAACAGTTACTAGACTTGTCATTAATATCATAATTTAAAACAAAATTATATAATTAACTTAGTTGGAAGCAGATTGATCACATGTAATGAATATTTTATTTTTACTTTAGATGTTTGTGCTACGTATCGCGTTTATTTATGAATGACGCGCCGTAGTGAGTCCACTTCATCATCATTATCAGTAATTAAATGAAGGAAACTAAAGCGACCTTGTTATAAAACAAGAAGTTAAAGTTACAGCCTTACTTCCCTCAGCTGAGTACAGGCCTCCTTCATTTCTGAGAGGTTTTAATTGGCCCTAATTACTTTTAGCCGATAATACAAATTTTATATTAATTATTTTCTTTTGATATTGGTATATTGAGATGAAAGATAATTTTTAACATCAAATAATATGTGCCTAACAAATGTCATATATCTGTTTCACTCTATGCTAATAATAGGTATATTAAGTATTTAGTGTCCTTGGTTATTTTAAAACAAACATTTTCGTTGATGCATTTTCATTACTATACCGCAGTATTGCACATAGTATATATATCTTACTTATTATAGTAATTATCCTTAAAAATAATTATAATTATTTCAATACATTACAATATTTTATGTTCAAATTGAGTAACTTCAACCTCCAGTAAACGCAGATTTTTATAAAAAAAAAATCACTTTCCTATGAAATAGAATCGATGATATAAATTCGCTACGTCA